GAAATCAGGTTTAAGGAGAAGTTCAAACTATGTCCTACCAGGATTATTAGTCTGGCATCTGCTTCTTGAGGGTGCTCGGTCGCAGGGCGTTGTGAGTAAGGTGACCATAAGTATGACCAAACTGGAACTTGTAACCTGTGGCAGCAAGGAGGAAATCCTGAGTAGTGTTGGATGGGAGGCAGTGAGGAGAATGTGCTGAGCATGGGCCATGGGGCTGAGAGCCAGAACCTGGGACAATCTGGCTGTGAGACTTTCTGGCTATGGACCACCTCACACTTAAGGGCTCTGGGGCATTTGAAATTAGACCAGCCACAGCACAGGATCTGGGGATCCTGGAGGAATGATCCCTGAGAACCCTTTCATCCCTTTCCTGTACACCCAGGTAGCTCCAGGGAGAAGAGAAAAAAAACATTAGAAGCTCCAGCTTTGTGTATGAGGATATCACATTGGAGTTTGAGACTGTGGTCTGCAGCAGTGAAATTCAAAAACTCATGAATAAAAAAAAAATCACAGCCAGAATCCCAGAATGGTTGAGGTTGGAAAGGACTGCTAGAGATCATCTAGTCCAAGTAGGGACACCTAGAGCACATGGCACAGGGTGGCATACAGGTGGATTTTGAAGATCTCCAGAGAAGGAGACTCCACAACCTCTCTGGGCAGCCTGTTCCAGGGCTCTGTCACCCTCACAGGAAAGACGTTCTTCCTCACATGGAGATGGAACTTCCTGTGTTTCAACTTGTACCCATTACCTCTTGTCCTGTCATTGGCCATTGCTGAGAAGAGTTTGGCCCCATCTTCTTTACATTCTCCCCTCAGATATTTTTACATATTTGTATATTTATAAAGCAACACAACCTCCTGTCCCAATCTAGGGAGGCACAAAATGGCCATGGCTTGCACGTGGGCTGCTTTGGCCCTTCAGAGGGCTGCTGTGGACAGACCTGCTGAGAAATGGCATAGGGTCAGACTGCTCTTTCCATCTGTGCAGGTAGGCCAAAAAGGGGAAGGGGATTGTGTGCTCCCATGTGGGAGCGCTGAGTCAGGTGTGCGGCAGGAGAGGCTATGTCCATCAGCCTGCACACTGTTACCAGACACACCAAGTGCCAGCTTGCCCACGCTTACAGCGCTGGGGTGCTTGCTGCTGAGGCTGCCTCACGTGTGGTGGGCCACAGTTGAATGATTAGAGCATGAGAGGCTGGATTTGGAGTTGCAGCCAGAGGGTTTCTTGCCCTTGTGGTCCTTCCATGCCTGAACACTCTAACTAGATTTAGAAGAGCATACTGGGGTGGAAACTAGATTCTCTGGAGGGAAGGTATATGTCCATGGCTGTTTGCTGTTGGACACTCACCTGGGACATAGCCTGCGTAGTGAGGTAGTAGGCCTGTCTCCATTGGGTAGGTTTTTTCCCTGGGGTGGGAGGATGGTGCTGCCTTCCTTGGTCTCACTCCTGCCACCTTTCTTCAGGGCCATGTGGCTAAACTCCATCAGGGCCCGGTTGGTGGTAATCGGGTAGCTTTTCCCGATCAGGAACCGGGCGCGGGGCACAAAGCCCATGAAGCCTGCACCAGTGACAGGACATGTCCTGTAACAAGGCCAGCACTGGCTGCAAGCAGCCCTCAGGAGGCTTGGTACCCCCAAGCCACCCAGGGGACAGCTGAGGGGCTGTCCTGGACCCTTCCCATGCCCACCCAGCACCCCCTCCAAACACGCACTCCTAGGGTGTTGCCTCAAAGGGGATATGCAGAGGCCGTCAGGGAGGACAGCATCCCTTTCCCATCCCCGCTGGCAGCCCTGTCCTTGCAGCCTCACCTAAGATGAAATATTTCTGGGGGTCATCATCCTCCATGGAGTAGGGGGAGCGCTGTGGCTGATAGTCATGCAGCCATGCATGCGGGGCAGAGGCTGCCAACACTGCTGCTGCTGGCGCTGGGTGGCCCTGGTGGCAGCCTGGTCCTGAGGTCTCAGCTGAGGGGTCCTGAAGGGGACATGGAGCTGGGATTGCCATGGGGGCAGGCTCAGCTGGGCAAGGAGCCCCCGGTGCTGCCATGCCCTGGAGCAGGCCCTAATCTGGGGAAGGTGGCTCAGCCAGTGCAGGGAGCTCAGCATTCCCTCAGTGGGGACCTGGTGGCAGAAAGGTGGGTGCTGTGACATGCAGGTGGATATAGCAGGAAGGATGGGTGCTGGCTGCTGACCCCAGGGTGCTGGCTGCTGACCCCAGCACACATGCCCACCCCTCAGTGTGGCCATGAAGCACTGTGTGCTGGGGACACAGAGCAAGGTCGGGGACAGCCCCGGACCCATGGTGAGATGCACACTCTCTCCAGCCTGTATCACGTCACGCTCATGCGCGAGGTCCTGCGGCAACGGCTGCGTCTTCAGCCAGGCCTGCTCCCTGCCGGCAGCTCTCAGCCTTTGCTTAGCAAAGTCGCTCTTGGCCTCCTTGTAGATCTCGGAGAAGGTCTTGGCAAAGAAGTGCTGGCTTCTGGGGATGAATCCTGAGAGCAGAACATCTGACACACAGGAAGCAAAGAAGAGCCCACCTGCATGGTATGGGGCCTGACCAAGGCAGGGGGCAGGGCTGTGATAGACAGAGGTGGGGGAGGTAAAGGCATGGGGTGAGAACATGGCTTTGAGGGTGCTGGGGAGGGCAGAGGCACATGCCAGAAGAACACGTGCCAGCTCAGAGGGGAAGACCTGCTAGTGATCGAGGTCCTGAGGGATCTTCTCTGCACACCCTCTGGTCTGCCCTGGGAAACCATCTCATGACTCCTGCTGGGCTTCGCAAGGGCAAGCGACTGGGATGCTACTACAGGTAGGTGGGTGCTGCAGATCATCTCCTGGTGCTACGATGGCCTCCTCATACCTGTATACCCAGGGATGATGATGGAGCTCAGGGGCTGGGTGCCTGCCTCCCCACAGGCTCCCGGCTCTCCCGGCAGGGCTGGGGGCTCAGTGCCTCGGCCGGGCCCGGGCGGCGGGAGCA